TGAATCGCTTTGGTACTGTTTGGTAACACTTACGTTTTCAGTTTTCTGTTTATACTTATAAAAATTTAAAAAACTCAAATAAAAACTTGTTTGGTAAATTTTTGATTTTTAAATCAGTGGTCTCAGTTTATAAATTTGGCCAAAAAATGTAAACTCAAAAAATGTGTTTTCATTTTGAATTTTAAGTTTTTTTTTTTTTTACCACCCAACACTAGCCACCACCCGCCACCGCCACCACCACCTACCACCCACTCCTCACCACCACCTACCACCACCACCTACCACCCACATACGCTACCACCCACCCCCCGCCACCGAACGGATTCTCCTGCCCCCCCCCCCCCCCCCCCCCCCCCCCCCCCCCCCCCCCCCCCCCCCCCCCCCCCCCCCCCCCCCCCCCCCCCCCCCCCCCCCCCCCCCCCCCCCCCCCCCCCCCCCCCCCCCCCCCCCCCCCCCCCCCCCCCCCCCCCCCCCCCCCCCCCCCCCCCCCCCCCCCCCCCCCCCCCCCCCCCCCCCCCCCCCCCCCCCCCCCCCCCCCCCCCCCCCCCCCCCCCCCCCCCCCCCCCCCCCCCCCCCCCCCCCCCCCCCCCCCCCCCCCCCCCCCCCCCCCCCCCCCCCCCCCCCCCCCCCCCCCCCCCCCCCCCCCCCCCCCCCCCCCCCCCCCCCCCCCCCCCCCCCCCCCCCCCCCCCCCCCCCCCCCCCCCCCCCCCCCCCCCCCCCCCCCCCCCCCCCCCCCCCCCCCCCCCCCCCCCCCCCCCCCCCCCCCCCCCCCCCCCCCCCCCCCCCCCCCCCCCCACCCGCCACTACTACCACTCACTCGCTACCACCCACCACCTATCACCGTCACCCACTCACCTACCACCCACCTGCCACCATCCACCACCAGCCGCCATCCTCCATCCACCTACCACCTGTCACCATCACCCGCTACCACCACCACCACCACCCACTCGCTACCACCCACCACCTGCCACCGTCACCCATCCACCCACCCACCCGCCACCACCAGCTACCCACCACCCACTGTCACCACTTTTCACCACTGTCTTTCGCCGCCACTTGCCACCACGTGCCATTTCTCTCTCTTTTTTATATTTTTAAATTTTTTTAAACATTTTGTCAATTACCAAACGCGTTTTTAGTTTATGTTTTTTTAAAAATAAACCAAAAATAAACAAGAACCAGTTTATAAAATTTTTATAAGTATAAACTGAAAACGTAAACGTTACCAAACAAACCCTTTGATTTCACAGATTTTGGGGTGGACTCCCTAGCACTAGTGCCAGTACCAGCCGTAGCAGCAGTGGCGGTTGCAGAAAGGGCTGCTTCCACTTCTTGTTTTACCACCAAAATTTCTACGTCTTTCTGTAGCTTTTTCTTTTTCTTGGCAGAAGGAGGTGTGGTGGTTTTCGATGTCCTTGAAGAACGACATGCAAAGGCAGCGACCAAGTCTTTGATTTCCCTATCCATAGGTGGGTCAGTAAGATCAATGGTTGGGTCATAAATTTATTTGGAGTTTAGGCCACCAGCTGATCTTTCTTGTTGCTCAAAAGAAGCTTGGGAGGCCCTCTTTTCGTCTTTGAGGTGGTATGCAGTGGATTCAAAACCCAGGAGTTTGGGGGCAGACTTCTCTTCCTCAGAAAGGTTCCAAACTTTCTTAAGCTCTTCGTGGTAGATAATGTACTCACAAAGATGTTTTATAATGTTGATACTGGGATTTGAAAGCGAAGGAAGAAGCAGTTAAGAGCGAGTCAGAAATTCAAATTAAATAAAGGAAAAACAAAGAGGCAGATAGAATGGTTTTGGGTACTGTCCAAGTATTTGGAGTGCTCTCGAATTCCTAATTCTTAGAAATTTTCACAATGTTTTCTTCTAGGTCCTTGTTGGTTTTTAGGAGGACGGTAACAAGTTTCTTCGAGGCATTCTTTGGCCTCAAATAGTACTTAAGGTCCTCAGTAGAGACCTTGGAATTATTGGTTGTAAGCATGTAAACAGACAAAATTTCCATCTGTCCAAGATGGGTGACCTGGGCTCGGTTCAGTTCATAAAGCCCATTAACAACTCTGTAAAAGTTGGCAGAGAGTTGAATGAGGGCAAGGGACCAAGAACTCATACACTCTCTCAAGAGGGAATTGAGGGAAAACGTTATCCCTCATTTAGTAATAGCAATGAGCGGCATACAGGTATAGTTTGGGCCACCCCCAAGGTTATTAGAATCTTTCTGTAATCGGACATGGACATCATTTGGGATGCCATGCCGTTCGTGGAAGGCGGCTAGGGCAGGAGGGGATTCAAGAAGAACGCAGTATTTGCCCATGAAACCAAAAAAGAAAGGAATGAAATCAAGAAACGGAAGAAAGAAAAAGGGAGTTATAGTTGTCGGAAATGAGACTGGTGTAGAAACTCGTCGGAAATGAAGATGCTACAGCCGAAATTCTCTCTCTCACTTTTCTCTAAGGGAAACAAATGAGTACTGAAGGATGTGAGGTTTCAGGCCGGGGGAGGGGAGGGGATTTATAGCATCAGAATAATTACGAACAGACGTGCCTATTGTTTTATCAGGTAGAAGCTTCAGTCTAGATCTAATGGCCTTAAGCCATGTGTCTAGAGGTAGCACTACAAGAATCTACACATTTTGCGACCACTTTTGCCGACTAAAAAAATTTTAGTCGCAAAAAAATGACATTTGGCGACCAAATATTAATTAGTCGCTAATGATCATTATTTTTGGCGACCAAATATTATTAGTCGCAGAAGGTTATATTTTGGCGACCAAAAAATGAGTTGGTCGCAGAAAGTGGTATACTTTTGCCGACCAACTACAAATTTGGTCGCGAAAGGTCACATATTTTTTGGCGACCAAAAATTTGGTCGCCAAAAACTTATTTTCGGCAACCAAAAAAAATTAGTCGCCAAATTAGTACTTTTAGCGACTAATATTTTAGTCGCCGTTGATTGAGATTTGGCGACTAAAAAAGTTTGTCGGCGAAGGTACCTTTTCTGCGACTAATATGGTCTTTTGGCCGCCAAAAGTTTGGGAGGGAAATTTGATTTTTAATGGGGCGGGAATTGAAATTTTTTGGCGACAAATAAATTTGGTCGCTAATTTTAAAACTACGTCGTTTTGTACCACGAAATCCTTAAAAGAAAAAAAAAAATCAAATCAAATCGGTGGCCTCTCTCTTTGTTTCTCGGTCCGCCCTCTCCCTCTCTGTGTTCTTCCTCTCAATCGGTGCCCACTCTCTGCCTCTGGGACCTCTCCACTGGCATCACTGCTCACCGCTTCGTCAGCCACTCCAAAGATGTCCGCTCCGTCGCTTTCTCCTTCGATAATCGCCAAATCGTCTCTGCTTCCCGAGACCGCTCGATCAAGCTGTGGAACACTTTGGGTGAGTGTAAGTACACGATTCAGGATGGTGATGCTCATTCCGATTGGGTCAGTTGTGTTCGATTTAGCCCTAATAATCTTCAGCCTACGATTGTGTCTTCGTCTTGGGATCGGACTACGATTGTGTCTTCAGCCTACGGTTGTTTCTCTTCTATCTTATAATCAGTTTTATTGTATAAAGAAAAATAGTTGTCTGCAATCCTGGTTTTTATGCCCATTTGGGTTGCCAGGGTTATATGCCGGAATTTATAAATTTTGTAGTTGATTTCCAAATTTTTTGTAAACACCACCCCCCCCAAAAAAAAAATGTTCTAGTGGTTAATTTTTTTTATTGGTGAACAGTTCTGGTACTTCCATCAAATTCTTGAGCATAGATTTGACAAGTTCACTTTTGAAAATTGATTTGTGTGGTCTATTCGGGAAAAAAAAAAAAAAAAAAAAGAAGAAAAAGTCTACATATGTTTTGCCCCTTTTCAGTTTGCATGGGCCTAGATGCCAATATTCATAAAAGTAATCTGAGGGTTGGCTACTCTGTGATAGTCTAGAAGAATCTGCTGCATATCTCTGGGTGGTTCTCTGATGAGGGTGAGGCAAATTGAATGTGAGGATTTACTCATAATAATTCAATATGTTCTGTCATTTTCAAGTTTCCATTTATAAAATATCTACAAACTCTATGTTATTATCAGTAATCTTACAACGGAATACTCAAATGTGAAGATAAGACTTGAAATCAGAGGTTATTGCTTGTTACTGTTTGAGATGTATAATTTAAGGAACTGCTATGTTCTTTATATAAATTCCCTTGTTTCTGTTGACAACTTTTTATTACTTGGATGAACTTGAGGACTCATTCTTGAGGCCTGAGGCCTTTTTTTGTTACTGCTTGAGATGTACAATTTAGTAACTATTATCTTCGTTGCACAAATTCTTTTGTTTTTGTTGGCAGGTTTTTTATTACTTGGGTGAACTCAATGACTCTTTATCGTATGCTCTGGGAGCTGGTCCTCTGTTTGATGTTTCTAAGGATTCAGATTACATTCATACCCTTCTTGGTAAGAATTTTCACCTTGCATCCTTTTTTTTTTTTTTTTTGATAAATAACCTTGCATCCATTCTTTTCCAACATAAAAACTTCTATGTTTACTCCTCTTTTTTTTTTTTTGAACAGACTTCCATGTTTACTTTGAGGTTTTAAGATCTGCTTATTATTCATTATTGGTTTCCCTCAAATTGGTTACATGTAAATGCAGTCTGTGAAAGCCTAAGCTAGATATCAACTCCTGATATATGTTGATTGTATAATGTCCATCATGGTTTTGATAGTTGATATTAACTTGTGAAATTATATGGATGAAATTAACACTTTTTCAATGTAGCCTTCCTAATTATTGCTGGCCATGTTCTACCTTCACTCAGCTAAAGCAATTGATCAATATGCCAGTCTCAAGTCAAAGGTGGCAGAGTCAAATGATGAAAACAAAATGGACCCTCAGTTGGAGGCAATCGTTGAGAGAATGTTGGATAAGTACGTAAATTTTTTGCTTCTCTTTAGTGTAATGGCACAATTCATACCATCTGCCCTCTAATTAATCAGTCACCAGACCTTCACCAATTCTTTCATCCATCAAATTCAAATTTGATGAATAAAGAGCTAAAAGTGAGCTACGTTGCCCTGAATTACAACAGCCCAACAGTCAGACCAAACACAATGCCTTGAATTAAAGCTCACTTTTAGCTCTTTATTCATCAAATTTGAATTTGATGGATGAAAGAATTGGTGAAGGTCTGGTGACTGATTAATTAGAGGGCAGATGGTATGGATGTCATGGTATTGACTCTTCAATGTTTTCTGTTCTGTTGTGTGGTTTTTGCCAATATATTATTTTTGGGATCTATCTCTTAATCATGCAGCAGAGACCATGGGAACACAACATCACTTGGAGGATAGTGGGATATGAGGCTTTGACTACACTATATTCCCATACTTCCGACAGCTTTAAGTTTCCAGCGTGTTAGAGTGCTTATCATGTTGGAGGCTTGCAGCAATCAAATTTATGCACATAAACACAGTTAATCACGTAGTTCAAAAACAAAAATGTACACCAATTTGTAGTGTAGTAAGAAATGACTAGTAATCAAACAGAAGTATTTTTTCTTGGCCAAATTACTATGTTGGGTGGAGAACTATGAACAGATGAGACCAAAGTAACATAAACCTACAACGCTTGAGCTCTTGAAGCCCTTGTTCCAGATTGGTCAACACCATCTTGCACTCTTCTTGGCCTGCAATTAATGGTGGTATGGATTAATAACTTAATTCCTGTCATGTACAGTTAAATAATGTACTTTTGGATGCGGACTTTATTGCTTTTCTTCTGCATGTATCAACATACATTTTTTAGCGCATATGCTCTACCAAAATTTTCGTGAACTTGAATGTTTGCAATGTAAGCTTGTTGCAGGGTTAAATAATGGTTTTTAATAAATTTAAAAATCCGAAGAGTTTAAATCAGTGGGAAACAACTTGTCAAGCTGCAGGATGATATACATTTTTAATACTAAATGCCTGCTTTAGCCACCAATTAGGCAGGCAACTCATAGTTGATATAGCAGATGAATATGCATTTGTTGGTCCTTTTGCTGATTAAATTGAGCAGTAGAAATATATATGAAAAGACTCCATTTTTTATCAAACAGTTTACTTGGGTTTGTCTTGAGATTGGGTGGGTCTCTTAGTGCTTTCGTCTTCCAAATCTGGAAACCAGTTATTGTTGTTTATTCTATAACTCTTTTTATTTTCTAATTTTTTTTTTTAACAATTTGCCCCCCCTCATCTTTTCCTGGGGATAAGTTGGTTAGCCTGTGCACCTATGATTATTGTTAAAACCTTTTTCATTCTTGTCTGGTTGATTCTGCCATCATCCTTCTTCCAGCCTGCATCAGCCCTGCTGACATCAATGTTGAGGAAACTCTGAACACTCTCAAATATGCTAATCGTGCTCGAAACATTCAGAATAAGCCTGTTGTAAGTAACCTTGATGATTATATGTTATTATTATTTTCTTTTTGTTAAATATTTCCACTTCACTATTTGGAGATGGATAGATTCTATTGGCATCAAGTTCTGTATCTTTTGATTTCTGAGGGAGCACATTATCTTGTTGTACAGGGTAACAGAGATTTGATGTCGAATGAGATGAAAAATATGCGGCAGCAGCTAGAGTACTTGCAGGCTGAACTTAATAAGGAGCTTTCTCGAGAACTACATGAATACCACAGCAGACGTGCTGTTGTAGAGCCGAGAGAAACAGATGCTGAAGTACGCTAATATAATTCCTTCTTTATCTTCGAAGAAGAAAATAAAAGAATTATATATATTGCAATTTTAACTTTCCTCTTTATTGCCACTAAATTGTGGTCAACAGACCATATTTATTGAGGTTTTGGTCATTACAATAGTTTGATTGATAGTTATTTTTTTTGGTTGGTGCTTGATTGATAGTTATGTGACATTTTCTATCTCAGGATGGCTCCTGTTTTGTTAAAAGGGATGGGCTAAAGAAGGGCTTACAGAGCATGGATGCATCTGGTTATCCCATGGGTGAAGCCATGACAGGTAAGCTACTTAGTTGTGAGATTATTTCAGATGAATGAGGCTGAAAGCAGAGGGGAATAAGCTTCAAGATGCCATACCCTTAGTTAATGCATGACAGACTTTGATTTTTCTGTCATTTAGTTGGCATGTTATCAGTTTTTATATTACACAGTATGTGTAAGAGAGATGTGTTTAGTCTCTAAAACATGCGACTCATATTGCACTTTTCTAGTTCAGTTCTTTATGTTTCAAATGAATTTGCCAAAAATTGTAGGTGAAAATTACATGGAAATTGATGAAGCTGTAGCAAAAGAGTGGGAGCATGCACTCCTACGAACAACGATGGGCAAAGAGTTTAATGAGTTAAACAAGCGTTTGGAGCAGAAAGAGGTTTCACTGATGGGCTTTGTTTTATGCAGTTTTCTGCCATACATTTGTTATCATATAGGCTCAACCCTTAATAGAGAACATATGTTAAACATCTAATATGCCTTTTTTTTCTAATCTCCCGCATAAAAACTGGTTGTTGGGTCACACATCTTGAATATTCAATTTTTTCTCTATGAAAGTTGATACACCCAAAGCTAATGTTTTAGTCTGTTATTTATGACATAGGCTTAAAGGAGAATACAACTAATGTACCTCTTTTTTGAGCAAAACTGATGTTTTCGACCCTTACAATTTTACCCAAACTACAAGGGTGGATATGCCCAGAGCTAATGTTCTAATTTGTAATGTAAATAATTCTGCTAGATTTTTTTTTTTTTTTGGCTTAGGAAGCCTATTCCCCATTTTTGTCACTATTCCTTCCAAGAGATACAGCCGAGATGAAACTACAGGCTTGGGATTCTGATTTCTACAAAGTGTCTTGCTTTGCATCCTTAAAAATATGTTCTTACTTTTTTAAAAGCTGTTGTTGCCTTATTTTCAAAGAATATATTGATAATAGTGGCCATTTAGTGTCATTCTTATGTCTACACACATTGATACATGTTCACATGACGCTTGTATGGGGCTGTCCACACACATTGATATCCATTAGGAGCTCAGCACTTGTCAGGGGGAAAGTATGAAGAGTGCTTCTAGTGGTTTGTTTCACACGATACATGCATGGGGCTGTCCACTCACATTCATATCCATTAGGATCTCAGCACTGTGTCAGGGAGAAAATATGAAAGAGTGCTTCTAATGGTTTGTTGAAAGAGAGAACTGATTATGATTATTATACATAATTAACGTCTGCGAACATGATAAATGTTTTTGTAAATTCAGGATCATCTTTCTAACACGCGTTTCACATGGGATTCAATATTAAAGAGATTGATGTTAGAGGATGATATCTTCATCACTGCCATTGCCTGTTTATGCATTCAAGATTCAATGTTTATATCTTTAGCGGTATTTTTTATTTCTCTCTTGGGATAGAGCTCCTCCACTTCTTTATATATATATGTGTATATATTTTTTTTTATTTTATCCTTTTAATGTGTCATTTTATTAAAATAATGTAGGGAGACATGTTTTGTGGGTTACATGAATCCAAGGAACACTAATCAATGATCTTCAACAATGAAAATCTAACGACCAACAAAAAAGAGAAACTCCACAACGCCAACTTAAATGTTGCAACATAATTACTAGAATTAGTACCACTGGAATCTAAAGTATTTTTTTGCCTGCTCCTTTGATCTGCCACTGTAATTTTTACTGAACAATTTTTGTGAAATTTATTTGATTCCTTGGAAATTTTTTATATTTGACAATTGGTGAATGTTTGGAAATAGATTTTATTTTGTATTCCATTCTTGCAATTTACACTATTTTTCTTAAAATTGTTTCTGTGACTTATGTGCAGTCAGAAATGAAACATTTTGGAGGGTCTGACACTGAAGCACTTAGTCAGCACTTTGAGAAGAGAATCTTGAAACTCGAGGAAGAGAAGAAAACAGTCCAAGTTATATGGAAAAATTTTAAAATTTTCCATTGTTAGTTGTCTATTTCATCACTACAGAGGGTGGTGATGGTCTGTGATAACTACAGCAAGAGAGGGACCGTTTGCTAGCTAAAATTGAAAACCTTGTTGCTGCTTCTGATGGACAAAAGCAGAAAATGCACAAAGCTTATGCACAGAAATTAAAATCACTTGAGACACAGGTATTTTTTGCTCTCTCCAATGTCATTATGTTGTCTCAAACCTTTGTCATTATTTAAATGCTAAAAATTCCGACCCCCAACCCAACTTCAGATTTTAGATCTTAAGAAGAAACAAGATTGTCAGCTTCAGCTTTTAAAGCAAAAACAAAGAAGTGATGAAGCAGCAAAGCGGCTTCAAGATGAGATAAAGACCATCAAGGTCCAGAAGGTTTGTTCTCATTCCAATGGTTGTATCAAGCAGACAGGACATAACCATGAAGCTGTTATTTATTATATGACTTTAGGATCCGTCATACTAATTTTCCCTTTCATTTGTAGGTTCAATTGCAGCATAAGATAAAACACGAGGTAGAGCAATTTCGACAATGGAAGGCCTCTCATGAGAAGGAATTGCTTCAGGTACTTGATGTTTCCCAGTTATCCATGTAACCTGGGAAACATGTTTCACTTATAAAAGTTTTAACTTATGCATGCTTCGGATTTAATTAATCAAAAAGGAAAAAAAAAGAAAAAGAAAGAGGCAAACAAGTTGAACATGTTATTCATGGTATGCACGTATATCATTGAATGTATTGTTGATGACGTTTTTTCTCAAGCAACTAAGGAAGGAAGGCAGAAGAAATCAATATGAGCAACATAAACTTCAAGCTTTAAATCAGCACCATAAAATGGTAAAGATTTCTTTTGTACAAGTGCTTCAGTAAAATTATCTAGGGCCTTTCTATTTTTATTTTTATTTTTATTATCTGTCTGTACACATCACTAACTTCATTGAACAGTAAGCCTTGGTAGCTGATATGCTTTGAGACTCACTTTTTATTTCCTTAATTATTCTACATTTGGATAATGCATATGAATTATCAGGCAAGTTTCTAGAGCCTTTGTCAGGTTTGAAGGGCGTTACGGTTTACAGGAAATAATTTCTCATTATGTTTAGTCCAATGTTGATGATTGAAATGCTTAACCAAACCCTCTCCATCTGCTTAAGCTTTTAGATTAGTTGTCTAACAGCATTGCATTTGGATCATCTCACCTCCTACCCTCAAACATAGATACAAGTACAAGAGAGTACTAGATTTCTGCTTGCATAACAGGTGAGGGAAACATTTCTTGTACATTGCTGTCAATTGAATTGATTCTTTTTTTCCAACATCATTGTGAGGCGGGTAATTAATTCAGATGTACATGGGTAATTAATTGATGCTGTCAGTGAGCTACATTGCCCTGAATTACAATAGCCCAACAGTCAGACCAAACACAATGCCTTGAATTTAGATCAAACAATTCTATATATATTTTTTGTGAGTTGGAGGTCATAGTCCAGGAAGGAGAAATCTTCCTTGACTCTTAACAAGGCAATTAACAAGGCACAAAATTTTGATCAGCCCAATTAGATCCACTTGGTTCACAAAATTAATTTTTTTATGCTTCTTTTTTACTTTATATATGCGTAACTGTTTTAAATCACATATAGTAGGTTTAACATATATGACTCTTGGGACATGCACGAGGAAATGATAACGAACTCAGAAGAGTTTTACAAGATGGTATAGAGCTTTCCTGCCCTCAGAATTGTAGGGGAATGATGTGTATAATTTTTGGTTATTTCTTCGTTATATTCATTTTTTTTTTTAATCTGGAGATGCTTGATAATGTTTCTTATAGTACTCATATAGATTATCTTGCCAGGTTTTGTAATGTCATGTAAGATGAGTGATTTTGGAATTGGTTGTTTTGTTTGGTTAATGCTAAAAAGTCTGCCACTTGACGTCAAAGAAATTTGAGGGTCCTATATATGGGCTCCTGCTGATGACGAATTGATTTTTCTCTATTTAATTATGCATTTTTATTTCCTACAAGTATGACATAATTCTCTCTATTGCAGCTAAAACTACCCTATCAAATTGTGGCTATTGTTTCCGGTGCTTTGAATGATGCAGCTGCAAAGAAGTATGATTTGGAAGGATGGTTTCTTGTATCCAGCACTTACAGAGAACTTGTTTCCTGTTCAAACTGCACTGACTATCAGTCCAGGAGATTAGAGATTCGATATGGGCAGAAAAATTGTAGACTAGTAGTTATATTTTTGGATACACTAGTAGTTATATTTTTGGATGGGTGTGTATAGAAAATATTTGGTAGACTACTAGTTATATTTTTCGGTTGATGTACATGGATAAAAATTTTAAACATAATAACAAGTATTTGTTATGTCTTAAATTTTTATGCTAGATGAAATATTTAGTTTGGAATTATTTGTCGATGAAAACTTATAATAGTTGCTGATTTTAATTAAACAGGTTCAGAAATGGTTGATCTATGTATTTTGTTGAACGCTCATGATTCAATTTATTTGTTGGTTTGAATGATTTTTGCAAATTACAGATTATATTGAATAAATTGAATGGATTATTAAAAATTACAGGTTTATTTTGTTGGATGTTGGCGATCAAATGTGACAATTGGCGACCAAACTAATTTTGGTCGCAGAATGTCACAATTGGCGACCAAAATTTTTAGTCGCGGAATGTGACAATTGGCGACCAAAGTAATTTTGGTCGTGAAATGCCACAATTGGTGACCAAACTAATTTTGGTTGCAGAATGTCACAATTGGCGACCAAAATTTTTGGTCGCGAAATGTCACAATTGGCGACCAAATTAATTTTGGTCGTGGAATGTGACAATTGGCGACTAAGAAATTTGGTCGGCAAAAGGCAACTTTTCGCGACCAAAGTGTTTGAGCGACAAAATGGATTAGTCGCAGTAAATAAATATTTAGCGACCAAAAATTTAGTCGGCAAATGCAACTTTTCCCGACCAACGAAAATTTTGGTCGCGAATTACTTTTGCCGACCCTCAATTGGCGACCAAACTAGCGACAAGAAAAATTGGTCGCAAATAACTTTTGCCGACCAAAAATAGACTTTTAGCGACCAATTTTTTTGTTGCCAAAAGTGTTAATTCTTGTAGTGTAGATGCGGTGCGTTAAACGAAAAGACACCTGATACTTTTGGTGGTGTATAGGTTGGTTTAAAAATTGAAACGCCTATCTTTAGACCATCCGAACTCCGCTCCGCGTGCGAGAGTACGAATTGTTGTTCATAGCTACTGCAGTTTGGACTCCTGTCACAGTTCTGGATCTAATATCACAAAGTGCAATGTAAGACTGATGAATCACCAAAGAATCCAAATCCAGCAAATCATTTTGGAAAATCGATTTTAATTAAGAAGTGTCAAACATGGACTGCTTTGCTAGATTTCAGAGTCGCCACCTAAATATTTTGTTTTGGAAAATTTAGGAAACCCTGACTCGTGCCTAAGGCCACGTGTCCATCATCACCAAAGTTGCCTCGGCTCGGGAACTTGGGTACGAGAGGGGTGTCCTGAAATGAGCACCCCCGCTCTCCCGATCAAAGATCGGGCTCTACTAAACATGATATGTTATTTTGAAAAAACACATGTGTCTTATTCGGTTTATTTAGCTAACTTACTATGTGATGCGCAAACACACATGTAAGACTATCACATCAAGTTGGAACAAAAACATCTCATGTTTGTTTTTTTTGAAATGGTTTGAAAGTGCTACTCGCAAGCAGGCTAAGAAGCGGATTTGCACCACCTCAAGTGGGCTTAGAAAAACAGCATGATTTGCCACTTCAAGTGGGCTTTAAAACACATTTCGATGAATTGTTTCCAATTCAAGCAATGAAGCCTTCATCCACAGGCATTCTTGCGTTAACACTTAAGCAGTTAGCCTCATGCAAGCATGCTATCATGGCAGTCACTTGCACTCATGCAAGGATGCTAAAAGCATAAACACTCACCGAGTCTCCGAGCCAAAACAGAAGCTAGTTAGTAATCGATGCATGATCCTAACTAGTCAACAATGCCTAATGCAACACATGCAAAAATGCAACTAAAATGGCTTGGCTATTTTAGAATGGCATATGGAATGCAACCTATGATAACATACTTTGAAACACGTATTCAAGAAAGTGTATTGAAATACAATGCAATTGACTGATGCGCCCGAGCCCGGGGCATGCAAGACGAATGAATTGATCACGCATGCAAAGCATAAGTATGCTAATTGAAACATGCCCTAAACTAACCATCGAAAGCTGATAAGTAAAAGGGAGAAAGAAATGGGGTTGGAAGACATGCATCACGCACACGTACACTTATTACAACATTTGCCCTCTCGACGGAGGGTCGGAATAAATAATACAAGCTAGCTACGCTAAGCTAAGCTACTTAACTAATCTAATAATCTAATTAGACTAATTATTACACAATACAAATCGAATAACTAGCTACAACTAATTATTACAATACTTTAATTAATTAACAAATTGACTAATCATGGTAACTAACTAAGCATGTGAGGTATGTGAACTAGGCTGCCACATCTCTGCCTTGAACAATGAAGGATGCATGCTCTCGACTGCCTTGGTCGAAAATCCATCGCCATGCCCAGAGTTGCCTTTGTTTGCATTTGATTTGTTCTCTGAAAGTTGCACAAACCTCCAAATTGCTTCTTCTCCAACATGGGGACCTCTTGGTGGGCTGCCGACCAGAAAATGGGGGTGTAGACCAGGTGTAGACCATAAAAACTAGTTGTAGACCAGAAAAAGTGGTCGGTCACTGGTCTGCCGACCAGAAAATCTACCAAACTCCAGTTTTGCTGCAACAGAGAACAACAATCGGTCGACCACCTTTACTGGTCTGCCGACCAGAAAATCTACCAAACTCCAGTTTTGCTGTAACAGAGAACAACAAGGGCATGGCAGTGTATTTGCAAGGGAATGTGTGCACAACCACCCTCTCTATCATTTCTCAAGCTCAAGGGAATGTGGTACTCGACTCTCGGGCCACCAACCGAGCATCGCAATGCACGATGGCCGAGAAGCCAAGTTTGCACAATTCAATGTCAATGAATGCACAAATAACACATAAGGGCCTCCACCTCTATCATGCTTGATCAAAAGGGTCGGCGATCGAGAAATGAGGCGCGTTTCATCACTTCAAGTATGAAACGCCCTTCGTTTCTCGTGTTTGGATTAACATCCAATCCAAACACAATGCAACACAATAACATTCCAAACACAATGCAATGCAACAACATGCAAACACCATGTAATGCAACAACAAGCGAACAACATGAGCATGACAAGTTAGAGTTCTTAAGCATTGAAGGACACAACCCAAGGGCTATGTAATACAATACTCAATGGACCAAACCAGCCCCAAACTAACCTCATACATGCCAAAATAGTGGCCAAAATGCTCTGAAATGATGGCATGGAAGGCAAGATAATGATGCTCATGTAATGACTCATCAACTAGGCATAAGGGTCAACTCTCAAACATAATTAAGAAATGACAAATGTGAGAGTGTAGCTACACTATATGCACTGAAACCATGTGCGAAATGATGCCAAATCATCCAAACAACATAAGCATAGCATCCTAAGGACCTTGAACCATTAGGCTAGTCAAAGCCATTGCCCTACAACCATGCACAACAAATCCCATATGGCCCAAACTACCCAAAACAGAGTTGAGGCATGCTAAATCAAAGCCAAAAGCATGCTAAAACATAGGCTTAAAAGGGAAGGAAAGCATGTTCATTTATTGGCTCGCAAACAAGGCATAATGCATAACCCTCGAGAGCAATGAAAGAGTGATAAACATGGGAGTATAGCAAAGACAAAAGCTCTGAAATTACATTCCAAATGATGCCAAATCATGCACATATTACAAATGAGGCATGCTAGGAGGCTCAAAGCTTAAGGCTAGCAAAGGTACTTGCACCATAGCCATATCAAGCAAGCCCCAAAGGGCAAAGATGGTTGAAAACAGTCCTAAAACAGTTCAAAACAATGCCAAAACATGCTTGGGGCAGAGTCAACACATGCTAGAATGGGAGGCATAAAGCATGATGTATGCAAGGTCAATGAGCATGATTACACTACAAGTGTAAGAAGCAAATGAGGGATGCTCTAACCAACAAAAAACAGAGTTGTATCATGGCAAAATAAGACCAAAAACACACTGAAATGGTAGCCCAAAAAGCTTAGGCAAGCATGCATGCCAATTGGCTCATGATTGAGGCATAAAGCATAACCCTCCAAAGCATTGAAAGAGTGATACATGCAAGAATATGACAGAGGTATATGGTCTGAAATAACATGCCAAATGATGCTATGCCATGCAAAAAGCTCAAATATGACATGCTAGAGGTCTCAAAGTGCAAGGCTAGCAAAGTCAAATACACTATAGCTATGCAAAGCTAAGCATGCATGACCAAAACCACTCAAATCAAACCTAAGCATGGCAAACCATGAGTAAAATCTTGCTGGAGTGGAGCCAAAAACATGCTAAATGGTGGTCCAAAGCATGATGCATGTTAAGGCTATAGGGAGGATTGCACTACAAGGGTATTAAGCATGCAAGACGCAATCAAACCGATCCAAAATAGAGCTAAGGCATGCTAAATAACACCAAAAACATGCTAAGATAGGACCAAAATAGGCTAGCATGATGGATCAAAGCATTGAGCACACAAGGCTAAATGGAAAGATTACACTACAAGTGTAAAAAGTATGCATGAGGTAACCAAACCAACCTCAAAAAGAGCTATATCATGGCAAAACAAGGCTTGAAACATGCTAAGATAGGGGCCCAAGAAGGTAGAAAAACATGCTAACTTGGTAAGCTAATAACACATGCAAGCAAGGTACAAGAGGGGGGGACCACCCCCACCTATTTTGAGTCCCAAAACACACTTTTCACCACTGAAATTTCTCTGGAATTCAGTGGTTAAAAGGCCAAGAGAAGGTTATCTCAAAGGCCTAAAGAGATGGTTCAAAACAAGGCAAAATAAGGCACAAAAAGGGGTGGACCACCCCCAACACCAAAGAGGCCTCAAACAAACACTTTAAGCACTTGAAAATGAAGCTTTTTTCAGTTTAAATTTAGGCCAAAACATCATGCAAATAGGGCCAAATAAGCAATGAAAACAAAGCTTTAAAGAGGCTAAAGACTCACCCTTGAAGCACAACTTCAAAACAGCAACTTCAAAGGCAAAAACCAAGCTAACACCACTCAAATGCAACCACCAAGAACCTCAGCTCAATAGTGAAGGTGTTTCACTAGGTATTTGTGTGCAAAAGTGTGAAGAAA